GCCGTCGTACTCGTTGCCTGCTGGTATGGCTTTCCTGGCATCAATCATGGACAACAGCCTCGACATCCAGTGGTCCTGTGGTCGAATTGGAGAAGTCGGGCAGGCAGAACTGAACGCCGCTAGTATAGCTCCTTTCACATTTTGCCACGCTTCATCCACATGCTCACTGCCACCACAGTATTGTTTTACTGTGGAGAGTTGATGGGCTAGCTCAGATCGATACTGTTGAGCTGTGACAGCTCTTCGAAGATAGTGGATTGGCATGCTTCTTGCCGCACCACGGCGTGATCGGAATCAAGTGGTGTGCCCCAGAAAGAACGGCAGTCTTGAATTGTGGCTCTCCACCGGTGGCTGATGGTCACGTGGTCCAACTGGGTCCACGGTTGATTTGTAGTTGGCGGCCGCCAGGTTACGCGGTGCGAACGTTTATGTTTGAAGCTCGTACTTGCCAGAAACAGTTCGTGATCAGCACACAGCTGAAGGAGTCGATCTCCGTTGTCTGTGTGGCGAGCATCGACTCCGAAACGACCACCCAAATGTGATTCCAAGGAGCTCAGACGACCCACTTGAGCATTCAAATCGCCTGCAAGGATCACAATGTCGGTACTTTTTGCCTGACGAATGAGCCCGGATAGCTCTCGATAGAAAGTATCCTTCTCCGCATCAGAACTGCAGTCCGTTGGAGCATAAGCAAACACGACACAGACAAGCTCGATCGAAGTACGAAACTCGCTGTTCTTCGCTGGGCTGCTCCTCGTTGGTCTTCCAAGCATGGTTGAATCTTTAAGAGCTGAGGGCCATTATATCAGAACTGCAGTCCGTTGGAGCATAAGCAAACACGACACAGACAAACAGGCTCGAAGTACGAAACTCGCTGTTCTTCGCTGGGCTGCTCCTCGTTGGTCTTCCAAGCATGGTTGAATCTTTAAGAGCTGAGTACGGGCCATTATAGCCCGCAGGATCATTACAGCACAGTGACTAGACCACCAGGACGGAGTGACACCTTTAGGTCATGGCACTGTAGACTGGAATTGAGTCTGTCATCACCATATCAGTGACGAAGAGGAAGGGTGAAAGAGGATAGTCTCGCCTGACACTACTTGATGTAGTGAACTCAGGCGAGAGCTTTCCGTAGACCTGCACACGTTCGCGGGAGTTGGCGCACAGTGCCTTAAGGATGCATCTGCTACATAGGCATTGCCCGACGGGGCATAAAGCCAAATACAGCTTTCAAGTTAAGAAAAACTACCATTGTTGGTTGCTTGAAGCAGCGTCGCTGTTCCAGAATCTTTAGGAGGGTGAAAATGTGATGCACTGTCTTGCAGAACGGAACCTAGCTTGGTTTTCATGGATCTGCCTCTCTATGTGCTCAGTCAACCTTCGGAGGATAAAATTAGAGAGCACTTCCGAAGCTACCAGGCTGATGTCACTGTGGTTTCTATACTGTGCTCCCATATACTTTTTGAGGACAAGACTTACTGTCAAGGTGCCTTACTCTGCAGGTACTTCACGCTATATAGCGCCAGTAAGATTTTTCAGATACGAGAGAGCTGGATACAGACCTTCCAGTTCTGGGGAATTTTCACGTTTCATCAGGCATATTTCATACTTAATTTCTTCTGACGGCTGATTGAGCCTTGCATTCCATTCGCATACATGCACAACCCAGGTGTTGCGGGAAAGTAGTCAAGTTGCTCTTCTAAGTGTTCGACTCATCTTTCCAGTAAAGTTTTGCGAGTGAATCATTGAGCCGTTTTTTCGCTTATTGTCTAACTGACGGTTCCTTCTTCTGGTCAGTTGATCGTACTATTTGATAGAGGACAGGGATGTTTCCGCTGGGCTTTTATTGCCCATCGAAGTCATCGGTCTTTCCTTAGGCCCTTCAGAATTTGGCATTTGAGGGATTCGCGCCGTTCAACTGAATCATTGAGCCGTTTTTTCGCTTATTGTCTAACTGACGGTTCCTTCTTCTGGTCAGTTGATCGTACTATTTGATAGAGGACAGGGATGTTTCCGCTGGGCTTTTATTGCCCATCGAAGTCATCGGTCTTTCCTTAGGCCCTTCAGAATTTGGCATTTGAGGGATTCGCGTGCGCCGTTCAACTCCTTGCAGGGTAGTATAGATTTCCTAGCATCAATTAGGACTTGCGACTCCGACTATATCCAGTGGTCAGTTGACCGTATCGGAGAAGTCAGACAGAACGCCACCAGCACAGCTTCTTTTACACTATTCCGTGCCTCATTCACGTGCTCCCTACCAGTACAGTATTGGTTTACTGTAGAGAGTAGTTAGGCTACCCCAGGCCGATACTGCTGAGTTATGGCCTTCCTGGCTTGACAAGGCTTGGAGGGAAACAAATTGTCAGGCGTGCTCGAACTCCCATGCCCGGAATCAAGGTGTGCACCCCAGAAGGAATGGCGGTCCTGAAGTGTGGCTGATGGTTACGTGATCCGACTGCGTCCACGATTGGTTGGAACTTGGTGGCGGCCACGTTATGCGACGCGAACGTTTACGCTGACGGCTCGTATCACACAATGCTTCTTGTTTGGCGAATAAGCCCGGATAAGTCTCGATGGAAAGTATCCTTCTCAGTGTCAGAACAACAGTCCGCTGGGGCATATGCCAACACAACACAAGGCTCCTACTTTTGCGTCGAGGCATTGAGCTTGATTGAGCGCAAAGACGACTGCCCATTGGAATTCAATCTAGCACAGCGCGTTCAGCCCAGGGGTCGAGTGCTCGAGCTCGGCATAGATCAGTGGCTAACTTACTGACCGGAGGTCCATGGTTCTAACCCAACCTCGGCATCTCAACTGCTCCTGTCCATGCCTGGGCAGCCTGGGGGTATCTCATCCCTCGAGTGGCATGGCAGCCAAGCACTGAAAGGGTGTTGCAGCTGGACGGCCAACTCTCACACCATACATACACTATGCATACATCACCGCCTCTAGATCACCCTGAAAAGGGAGCCTGAACTGTGTAAGTTCTGAGTTCGTCCTTGGCATTGTGGGATGCATGTATACGTGTTCTAGATACACAACACCGATTTTAAATGAGTATAAGGTTTGCACTGTCTGTTTGCCAACTGGACAAAGTGAGGACGTCGAAAGATGCTATGTAGAAGGGGACATCATGGGTTTAGCGTACTGTTAATGGGCAGAGGGCTGGATAAGGCAGACCGGTAGGATTACCGGTATTCAAGTGACCCAGCGACGTTTAATTTATTAGTGGAAATTGGTTGAGTAGGGACACCGGTGGACAAGGGACTGTGCGGGCAAATGACATTATCCGGTTGCCTAGACCGAGGAAGGGGATTTTGTTGAAGTACCCACCTTGAGCTCTTAACTCAGAAGTCTGACCCACAGGATAGTGGATAATAGAGGGTTTTGTTCGGAGACACTTTCCCTAGCCTATGCCTCAAAAGTTTGGACCACGAGGCAGCGATTGTAAGGGTTTTCTTGAGGGAATCCTCAATAGTCCGACCTGTTCAGAGCTTGAGATAACTCAGTGCTTAAGGCGCCAGTTTACGGGCCGGAAGGTATATGATTCGAACCCAACCTCAGCATGTCGACTTGGATAGCCTGATAGTATCACAGCCCTTGAGAATCCTCTGATTGACATGGCAGCTAGGCACCACAAGAGTACAACACCTGACCGATTTTTTTTTATTTTCTGACCTGTTCCGAGGGGAGGAGGCGCTGATTTAATCCAAGGGAGCAAGAAGTAAGACATTATGTCTGGTTCCTAATGTGGCTGCACATAGTAGCTGTTTTCCGAGCAGTGTCGGACTCTTTAGTTTCAAAAGTATTTCGAACGTTGATGCGCTGGCGGCGGTGGGCAAGTGTCGGGCGGTCGGAGTGTGCGGTTCTTAGGGTCGACCCTTTCTGACCCATCCTTCCTCGAGGTAACGCAGCATCGCTGCTTCCATGGATGTGGAGATGATGGCCGCGTAGGGGAAATAGCTTACTTAATCACAATTCCATCGCAAAGGAGAATACATCATCTCCAGACCGCCTCACATTACGATTACTCGCAGTACGGAGTTTCACCGCTCTTGGTCTGACAGGTCCCCTTTGGCCTTCCGGGTAAGGATGCACCTTGTGGAACGGAGTTTGAACCAGTGCGGTCCGCGGGGTCATCGAAGAACTGAAGTTCGGTAACCACGTCAAGGTCGCAGCATTGGGTCAGAACTGGTGGGCTAGTAAGAGAAGCTGGAGTCTTTTGACCGCCGGTAGCTAAAACCACCCAACTGATCCACTTGTAGAACAACCATGAGAAGCTTCTCACGGACTAACCTGACCTAATCGATTGAGTAGCGCAGTTAAGTCGCTATCCAGGAAAGCAATCGACATCTTTGTAGTGTTGCTTCGCTTGGTGACGGGAGTATCTCCTTTAGCGAAAACCCCCACGAAAGGAGACAAGTAACCCGGATTACCCTTTGGAAAATCAGAGAATGCAGTGAGGCAACCGAGAAGATCACGTCTTCCCAGGCCTCGGTAGAATCGGACGGGTCTGATCAACAACGTTTAAACTACAGCAAAGATATTACACCATCTAGGTCATGAACAAGCAAATTTACCACAGGTATCCATCAACTGAACCTTCAGGCGGTTTTTCTCTGGTATTTTAGACCAGTCCACTGAGGAGCGTGGAAAGATAGTAAAATTGGGGACTGTCGGGGCATCCACTGAATCAGATTCAACAAACAAAAAATCCTCTAGCCGAGTATTTGAAGGAGTTTCAATTGACTGGAGCAGTGAGTTACAAATGAACACACCCTACTTGACCGTCCTGGGACTTTAAAGTAATATGACAGCCAACGCCTAACTGCTTTTTCACAGCATCCATCAGATTTGCCATTCGCATGCGTGCATTGACCAAAACAACCAGCACTCTGCCAGAGGATTCATCCGACAGGCCTAATTTCAAAAACTTTGGGTTATTTCTAAGCTGTTCAAAGGTTTATAATACGGTCAGACTGCTGAACAAACCTGCATCGCAAAAGCACCGAAAATGGATTATAAAGCCCGCCACTAACCGGTTCGTGAGTGTGAATACTTCTAACTCCAACCCCAAATCACAATACCAATCCGGGAGGGGTTTCACGGGTTTCTTGTGGATCCAATGAGGCTTTTCGGTGATCCAGTTTCAGCAACAATAGACCTGGGTCAATAAATGGTGAGTGAACTGGTATCCGGCTTTTGCAGTGATCAAACGCCGATGAAATCGGTATGAATTTTGGTAGTAAATATGAATTTGAATAATTTTACGGACAGTGCTGGGTGTCTCCTTCCTGAATAATACAACTCACTATTCAACTTATTCTCGCCTTTTTGTGCGATTTTGTTTCCCCTGTTTTTGCTTTTTAAAGCGGACGAGAGAGAGTAGTAAACTTTGTGTCTTTCAACCGAGTATGGTATCCAGCGGCGCTTTACATTACCATTGAAACTGGTTCAATCTAGAGTGGTATCTTGAAAGAACTCCCTAGAGGTGCTCAGTCTCTTTGAACGTACATAGTCGTATGTATCGAATCAGCTCGCTCTTGTCAGTCACTAATAATCGCTTCGTAGTGCATACAATGCCGCTACGTTTCTATCTGCAGTGCAACGGGAGCGTTTGTGTTTCATGTTTGGCGTGCGGCCCAACATATAGGGTGGCGTTTTTGTTGTGCAGGAATCTTCGTACGGATGAGGCTTTCGCTCAGTTTGTGATATCCAAGGCCGTAGATGTTTAGCAGTGGCTGTTTATAAACAGTGAAGCATAGGCCCCTTGTATCGTTCGTGGCTATTCGGTTGTTGGGATGGCCTGACCGAATAACTCATTCCAGTATATGCCTACAGCACACTTAGCGGGAGCCCCCTAGATAAAAGTTTACGAGACTCCACCTGATAAATCTGATTAATTTGCGCAGTCTGTCATTCAACGATTACCGTTAACCGCTTTAAGGTCTCTGTGAAATTAACATCCCAAGGTCCGTGTGGTCGTTTAGTAAACAACCAACGTTATGAGGATGCACCTGCACCCTTTGAACCTTGGGTTTCTTGCGGTAGCCCAATTCTCTATTTTATTAGGCCTTCCGATCATAGTATGAAAATTCCCGTTTATCATGGCCCACAAATGACTCGAAAGGGTAGAGCGGTCGTTAATTTGTACACATAATAGGTTGGGTCCCAACATCGAGCTGCCCGGCGCACTGCTAGGCATGGAGCATTAGCTCAAAATCAGGTGAATCTGAGCAACCCGGTGGGTGTGGTTACTTTGGTAGGAGAGCGGAACAAATTATTAGCCAGAGAAACAGCGAATAATAAACTGTATTTGTCAAAACTGTGAGTGTGGTGGTGAGAACCATAAAGACCGAGTGTTTTGAAATTTAGCCTAGTGGATTGGTTCTGGTCGTAGGGGATGCTCGCCAAGACTGCGTAGGAAATTTGTATGGGAGATTTGTCACACAGCGTAGAGTGTTAAGGCGGGAAAATATTATGGAAATATGGAATATTTGGGATTACGCGAGCGAACTCCTTAGATGGAACACACGGTAGGACGGAATTTGACGCGGGCGGATAAGGGAACTTTTGTCTAGAACGGAGGCTGAAAGTTATTCAAGGGGAAGGAGAGTTCGGGTAGACATACGAACGTTCTTTGCATTCTGTTGACTTCAAGTTTTCGAGACGGAAGCGGATCACAGCCATTTCAGATTGCTGCGATGGACCCGGCTTGCATTCCTAACCAGGAATTTCAAATTTGGCGGACGCCGTTCCGATCCTCCTCACATAGCAAAGCTGAACCCGATCGCGGCGGCAGAGAGGTACAATGGTTTTCAATAGTCGATCTTCTGTCATTTCCACCAAAGGGTGACAAAATCACCGTGAATTCGGCCATCCATTCGAAATTAGGGCTTCCGGTATTTGAACGAGGCTGACAATCGGTGGCGGGCTAGACTATTGATGCTAAGTTTTCCCGAAGCTCATAGGACAGTGCAGCATGTAAGTCCATCGAAGCTCTTCGACCGACCAATTAGGATACACTTGGTGTCTACCTTTTCACAACCATGGTTTTAAATCCTGTAGTAAGCTTGATGGCGTTTTTGCACAAGTAGGGGCGCTCAATACCGAATTTCCCAAAGCTATGACGTGTCCCTGATGGACAAATTGAGACAGGAAATTGAGTTCAGCGTACCAGTCCAAATGTTTGAGACCCATTTAGGCATCAAGGCTCTCAGCGATGCAGGGAAATTATTCTATCAGCCCCCCCGCATGAGATATGATTGCTTCAATAGGCAATCAAATCTGGCGAGCTGCAAAAATGCGAACGTAGATTGAAATGGTTTTTCGTTTGAGCACAATGCAACAAAATGCACCATTTTGGCTCAAAAGTTGTTATTCCATTCGTAGATCTTTTGCAATTAAGATCATTGTGCGGTCAACGCGTCTTCCCAAATGTATCAGTCCCTCTCGTCCTAAAATCCCTCCGTTTGTGCGGAAGTTCTGCAAGGTTCCGCGCAGGTTCAGCATCCTGGATCGGGAGCATACTAACTGGACAGAGGTGAGGTGGCTAATGATATGACTAAACATGTAATAATACCAGTTCCCCTACACAACGAACGCAAGTCGAAAGCTGAAAGGCATTGGATGGGCTGCGTCTTGGGTAACAGAACTGAAACTTTTGAAACCGGAGCAGCAACCGCTAACCCCGTGTTGTTCAGAATACCCTTTTTTCTTTAGTTTTTATTAGGGTCCGATTAACCGCATTATGCTCTTACTTGCGAAACCTTTACGAATGGAGTAAAAGTTTTCGCGTCAAAATGTTGTATTGTGTTGCGTACGTACTCAAACAAAAAACATTTCAATCTACGTTCGCGTTGTTGCGGCTCACAAAATAAGATTGTCCACCGGAACAATCATACCTTATGCGGGAAATTCTGGTTGAATAATTTCCTAGCATCGCCGAGACCCCTTGATACCTTAATGAGGCTCAAACCTTTGAACTGGTACTTTGAACACACTTTCCTGTCCCGAGTAGTCCATCAGGGACACGTCATAGCTTTCGAAAATTCAGTTCCATCGTGCGAATACTGGGTGCCATTTTTATCGCCATCGATTTGTCTAATACTGATAATTAGGTCCAAGATGGACGATAACATGCGTCAAAAGCAGGTTCTGCCAAGTTGCTGAAAACAATGAACATTCTGCAATAGTTACACCAGCTAATTAGTACTTAATGGAAAGTTTCCTCACAAACCTCCCCTTACTGATTCACAGCGGCGTTCAAAAGGGTTGACAGTAAAACACCATTCAGCCCGGCTTCCATTTTCGTATGTTACCACCATTTAAATTCCAGCCGATAAGAGTCGGGATGAGGGCGCCAGAAGCGTGGTTCGAATGCTAGGCTATAATCGATTCATGCACTAGCCAAACTCAGGCAAACGATTAGCTGGATCGAGTCACGTGATCCAGACATTAACGTTTGACTCCATGCGAGCTTAACCGCTTAACAGACCTTTTCACCAACGACTACCCAAGGCTTGCAGGCGTAGCCGGATAAGTTTGGGCGTAGGGAACGATGTGTCCGCTGTTCGAATCCGGGGATCGCCGCCCGACACCTTTTAGACTCCCCCGTTAACACGCTGCTTTACAGAGCGCTTCGCTTTCTGCTGACAGTCGTATACCTCAGAAAAATATGATTAACTTAGATGAAAGCACTTTGAAGTGTGAAGAATTTGAGTATGTAGTAACGTTTGAATCGAGATTTCCGAAAGCACAGATATCAAATTCGCGCCGAAATTTTATTGAAGGAGATGATGTAGATGGTCACAAAAAGATTTTCTGAGGATGGGTTAATGGATGGCATCTGAAGTGACGCATATAACTTTTGGGATGTTAAGCCGACGTATATACCTGTGTAAAATCGCACTTATCTCACACGAAGAAGCGGAGATCTCTTGAAATGTATTCATCAAATTGTTTCAGGCTATTTTATCGCTTGCTTCAATTACCCGTATTTTCCTAATTTATGCGCTTTAGGTATCTAACTGGTTCTATTAGGGGCCCAATGGCCACACATGCTCTTAATTTCAAACACTCCGAGTGGAACAAAGGTTTTTGCGCCAAAATGTTCTTAGCATTGCTGAAACCCTGGGAAGCCTAACTGGAGCTAAAACGTCTGGTCTCGTACTCCGAACTCAATTGCCTATCTCTTAGTCCATCAGGGACACGTCGTAGCTTTCAAAAATTCAACACTTTTGTGTGGATACTGAGCACTATTCGGGAGGCATTAAGGCTCTTTCATTTGTCTCGCAGTGATAAAAACCACAATGCCCTGCATTTCCCAGTTCCTATGGGGTGTGGACCATCGGATGATCTAAATGGATTTGATTTGGTATGGTGCGCCATTGTCGTGAGAAGCCCTACGTTTTGCTTGTCCTCACGTGGCCGTGGGCTAGACGCACGCCGAAAATTTCTCTGAAACCGTGGTTCGAAGGAGGAAAACTTTAACATAAAGTTTTAACATTTGATGGTAATTTTTCGGGCGTATGAGATCTTCCCAAACGGCCGCAGTTTTGTTGAAAGTTGTTTAAATCTACTCAATCCACACGATATTCAAGACCCGGGATATTCATATTTTAAATGGCTGCTATGGCTGAGCATGTGGATGCGGAGGATGATTTTGTGGAGAATTTAGCTCGCCAAAGTTTTTTC